CACCCTCTGGCCCCACAGTTCCCCCACACTGGGACATCTCGGATGAGTTCTCACAACCTAAGGGCATCTTTTAGTGGCTTGCTTGTGATTCTCTCAGCATGAAGTCCCCCCTGCCAAAACTCAAGGTTATAGTGATTTATTTTGTTTGCTAAGGAACAGTCCCCAGCCTGAGTTATTCTCCTATGTTACTCTCTCTGTAGTCTCCGTCCCGTCTCTGCGGCTGTGGACAACCTCGTGAGGGAAGTCCGGTCAATAAGGAAAAGGCTAGAAGAACTGAATGAACGGCTCGATGTCATCAGCAAGACTATCCTTCCCACCCGAATTAATGCCCTGCAGAGCCAGAGGCGTGGAAATACTCAGCTGCGGAGACTTCCGTTGCATAGGAGAAGGCTGTATGTTCGCAGGAGACCTCAGAGGAGTTAACTCTCTGCCAGAAAAAAGGGGAAATCTTCCCTTTTTTCACCTGCTTAAGCCTTTCTTGATGGGACATCCTTAGACAGAATAAAGTGTATACGATAGCCGACCTTATGGAGGAGACCAGAACTTCTGCATTTTGTTGCTGTCTTTCAAGCCCAGGTCAGTGGGTCAAATCCAGCCGTGTTCTTCAGTGATGGCTGTTTTGTGTTCCACGCAAAATGAGCTGACAAGCTCAATCTAGCTGAGTGTGAGTATCTTTATACTGCACCATCCTTCTTTTTGTTTATGAGGCAAAGCTCTTTCTATAAAGATCAGATTAATTTCTGTCTTATTTTCATAGCACTCCACCTGAAACGGCTGGGGAATTTGAATTTCAAAAGTGTTGAACTCATGATGAATGCAGAAAGATAGATCAATGCTTGGCACTTCCAGCTGGGAGGGGAGGGGGAAAGGAAGGTCTGTTTTAAAATATGTCCTTAACCTATTCACCGTTAGTACAAAGAATGCTTTGTTCACATGTTCAGACGGTGGGCAAGTTGATTAACCGTGGTCTGTGCATAATGTCTCAAGAGTGAAGATGTGAGAGTCCAGGGATCGGATTTGAATACCTACCTTCTACAGAGAGCTTTCTGCTAGTTACCTTGAGTTGGGCACTCAAAACCCTGTTATCCAACAAATATGTCCAGACCTTTCCAACACGCTGAAAAATTTCACACTGACTTCTGTCAAGACCCCTGGAAACCAGGGTACATTTTTTCAAAGCTATTTAGGTATCTAATGGCATAGATAGGTGTCCAGAGGGATTTTCCAAAATAGCTTAGGAGACAGTTTAGTCCCCAGAATCACAAGTAACAACTCAATCAGTATTTAACTCACAGAGTATCTTCTGCGCATGCAAACACAGACCTCCATACATGTACCAGCATCCTTTAGCATGTTTATGATCTGTAGAAAAATAATATGCAGGCACCCCAGGGATGTTTATGGCTCAGGGAGTATCCAGAACACCTTACCTTCAGCTTCTCTTTGGCTGTGGATTTCTGGTTATGAAAAAAAAAAATGGTGATAAAACTGGTAATAAAAAACAATGCAGAAAAACGATGCACTTAATGCAGGATTGTGTGGGCTTGCCTTTCAGGTCCCTACAGGTGAATCCAATACAGAGATTCTCATCCAGTGTTGCAGCCAACTGCATACCTGGAATCTACTAAAATACAGGTAGGGAGAGTCAGAGAAGAGAATAAATGTAACTATTTGTTAAAGGTCTGGATAGAGCAATTTATGAGAATTTATGAGAACAAAAATAAAGAATGGATTATGTCTAAATGGTTGTGGGGGAGTTTGGCATGACAGTTGTTTTGCAAACACTCTCCAGGCATAAATAGTGAGGACGCAGACTAGCTATTGAAGGATTCCCAAGGCCTGAGCATATGGAAAGAAGTTCACTACTGACACTACAGTAAGAGGAAAGGGAGACTACTGGCTTTGTATGAAACCTCTGAAAATGACACAGAAGAAGTTACAGAGTGAACATTTTGGCTAGGGCCTGGGAGTTGGGTGGTGGAGGTATGAGGAGTATGAGACAAACTGATAAATATTTCCTGGGTGTAAATTCTTTGAGTTTAGGTTTTCAGAAAATAACAAAACCCTAAGTTGGCAGGTCTCCCCTTGGCTTTTGCCTGGGAATTTGAAACACTCCTTAACTAGATCAGGGAAGAATCGAGCCTGTGAAAAGGCTGATAAAAAGATACAGTTGTGCCTTTGGCAAATCCGCCATCATAATTTCTCAGGAAATGTAGAGTATTTTGATTCTAGAATATATTTACCGAAAGGACAAGAAGTAACAGGAGAGAAAGTCCCCATCAGCCTCTTCCTTGTTACTCAGTATTCAGAGCTACTAGGCTGTGCTGCAGCATCCGCCGTCTGCTTGCATAGGCTGCTGGTCCCTCCAGGGGATGCTTTTTGCAATTTGCTTGGGGCTCTGGGGCTGCTGGTCACTTTGGCCTATCTTGATAAATAACACAACACAAATGACAGCTTTCATTACTTGTTCCTGCTTTAGACATGAGATCTTTTTATCAGGCAACTTGAAGTTGTGTAAAATCCATCAAGCACTACTGAACACAAAGATAAGACTTCTGGCTCAGGGAAGACCCTCAGTCAGAGACCGCTGGAGGTGAGGGGCTAGACTAGATCCCTGCATGCTTTTACTCCTTACTTAGATGTCCACTACCAGCCTCTGCCACAGACAGAGGACTGGACAAGATGGACCTCTGGTCTGACCCAGTCCAGCTATTCATACACTGATATATTTGCTATTTTTGGCAAAACTCCTTAGCTCAACAGAGAAACTCAGTTTGTTTTAAAATAGAACAAATAAACTGCAACACACAATGTGCATTACAGTTTTGCAATTTCTGACACAATGGCAAATAAACCGAACAATATAAATGGCTAATAAATGACTAAATCTGTGGCCTTGTCATCACTGACAGCAGCCCCTCTCATTCACTCCTTGAAATCCCATGTCAGACTCCAGCCCCATCTGCTTCCAGATCTAAACACAGCCTGTTACAAAACTTACCCTCCGCTTCAGGCAGCAAACTAGCAGATTTGATCACTTGATCTTGCCCAGCTACTTTATTTGGCTTTGCGCTAGTATCTCTCTCTAGAGGGAAACACCGTAAAGTCACATATCCTTATCATTTTCTTTTTTTGCTCTTGAAGAGCATAGGGAAGTCATGCACCAGCCAGTTTCCTTGCCTCTCGCCTCCCGTGTTAGGAGCTGGCAGAAGTGCAGGTGAGCAGGTGCCTCTACCCTGTTTGCCCACCCAGGTGGGCTCACCTAGCTGATGGCTGCTCCAGGGACCTGCACATGATCCGGCCCCAGCTACTGACTTCCTCAGTGACCCTGGGCAAGTCACTCACTCTACCTAGCACTTGTCCTCTGAGATGTCTTCTGCAACTAAAATCCACTTGTGATCATGAGGAATTCGAGTCCTTCATGCACATAAAGATACCCAGCTATGTAAGGCTGTTTAAGTCCCTTATCATGTTCGTTTTCATACATTTCTGGTAAGGGACCTGCTGCGGTGATAAACGGGGCTCATCAGTCAGGCTGTGAACACGCGAGGAGTCAGCGGAGAGACAGTAACTATCACCAGCAGCTTTGAAGACCTACTCCTTACCTCAAGCTGAGGAAATCACGAAAAGACATGGAGTACTATTTAATTTCAGTGTCTTGAAAGAAAGCAATTATGATCCTCAGTGTCCCCCTTAGCTTCTTTTTTTTAAAAAAATCAGTAACATTTATGATTTTGCAACCTTTAGGAGAGCTGTGTCTTTCCAGACTGTATATTACACATTTTTAGCAGTTTTCCCCCTCCTTTTATGTTTTATTTCCTTCAGATTTCTTCTCTCTCCCAGCCAAGTACCCATCTGGTCCCGTGCTTTATTACACTTTACGCTTTGCAACTTCCTCCATGACTTCATCGGCGGCAACGTCAGCGTTTCCACTTCCACCGCCCGTGCGGGTTCGATCCCCCCCTACCGAAAAGGCCCAATGCAACGGCCCAGCCCCGGCTGCTCGCTGCCCCAGGGCTTGTCCCTTGGGTTCCCCAGCGCTGCGGGGACGCCGCCGGGACGCTGTGGGGGCAGAAGGCTCTTGGGACGCCGTGTACACAGAGAGGCATGTGCACACGTGCACACACACACATGCACGCACACACACACAGAGGCACACACACCCCTGCACGCGTGCACACAGACACACCCGTGCGTGCGCCCCCCGCCCCCACAGGCACACAGAGACACTCACGCACGCACAACCTGCACACACAACCCCCCCACTCCCACACAACATGCACACAAACGTGCACACGCACGCGCATGTGCACAGCACACACATATGCGTGCACACACATACATGCACACACACATTCCCACACGCCCTCCTACGCGCACACACACACGTGTGCACGCACGCACATGGAAGCGCATGCCTGAGCACACATGCACGCCCATGCCCAT